GTTCAACTGAGAACACATCAATGGGCTCTTTATCCAAAGCACACAAAAGTCACACGTTAGGTGCTTCGCTAAAAGCGATATCTCAGAAGTGTTGTGAATATGAGGGAGAAGAATCTCTAACATTGAGAGCAATAGTAAAGATGATTTTTAGGGCACTACTTTTCCTCACAACACCCTGCATGTGTTGTAAAATAGATGTTTAAGACCAAAACTTGCTCTTAAAACTACAGGAAAATAACATCACAACAAAAACAACAAATTATCACATTAATTGGTTACAAGTGTTTTTGTAACCATTTCATGTAATAGCTTTCTGTGAAGTAGCTTTTAGATTCATTAAACTCCTCAGATGTCTGGTTCCTGTCACCAGCACTATGAACACTTCTGACCTGGCAAGTTTCACATTAGACCACTCTGAATGAATTTGTTTACACCTTAACAGTAAAAGTAGCAGGAATTTAAAAAATCTATGGAATTCCCCTTTAAAACTTATTGAGGCAAACTGATAATGTTCATAATGCAAGCCATAATAAAAATTGCAGATCTTGTAATGTAAAAATTTGCGATTTGTATAGAAACTATAAATCTTTTACCTACAACCCAAAGAAACAAAGTTCTCCTAAAAATTGTTTTTGTCCCACCTTTAGCCGAATTAATATGGCTTCTTGCGACTGCATGCGTATGTATGCATGCAATGTGCCTGTACAGAAGACACGCAAAAACAGGTGATAAACTATGCAGGACAAGCCTTCTTCTGAGAGTTCAGAAAGGCAGGGTAGTTATTTTTCGACTAATTAACCTCACCTCCAACAAGTGTGTGATGGGATAGCAGCGCTGACCCAGGAGCATGTGGCCATCTGCAGCTCCATGAGCGCGCCTGGATGAGTGCAGTCACCACACCAGCACTGCAGGCACCCAGCAGATGCTACAGCCAGTCCCCGAGGTATGCAGGCCATGTTCACCACACCTGGATCACACTGATGTATCACCATTCCATTGGCTTTAGAGAAATGGCAGCCAGGAAAAAGCTTTTTCAGCCATAATTCTGTAGAAAAAGAGAAAGTGTGTTCTACATCTTCTTCCAATCTATTTCATGGTCATTATGGTCAAAATTAATAATGCAAATTCTTCAAACAATCAGAGGAAATGTACTAACCATGCCATAAGGATTAAAAACAAATAATCTAGTAAAGACAGTAATAATTTAGCTTCATTTCCCATATACATAATATACACAAGATTAATAGAGAATCTATGTTCAATTTGAGCTACAAATCCATTTAAACATTAGAGGTTTTGATGTTAGATAGTATTATAGCAGTGGCTTTAAGCAGAAATTGAAAAGCAGCAGCTGCTAGAATGACAAGCAGCAGACCACAAGGACCCAAGTGGGAACATGATGGCAGTTACACTGAGAAGCTATCACTTTAGCTGCACTAACGTGACACTGCTCCATGTTCCTCCCATCTGAAGTAGTTACACTAAGTGTAACTTATAGCAGCACTGATTAATAACACAGGTCAACAAAATGAGACGTGTTGACAGAGGGGTTTGTAAACCAATATATGATAAACTGGCATTATCTATTTATTCTCCTGGCTTCAAATTTTTTTATAACTGGTGATCCCATCATTCACTCTATGGTAAAACAGATTTACTTCCAAATACAAGAATGTTTAACAAGTATAATCAAGGAAAAAATATGTTGAAAATACATGATACTATTGCAAGAACATGTCAAGTTCAACCGTCCTTCTGATCCCAATAGCTTTGAAAGACTGTGTATTGTCTCTTTTAACACATAACAGTAGTCAGTAAGGGTGTAACAACACACAAAGTTCAGAATTCAGTCACAAAAAATACATTAGTGTCTCGATTTGATATTTTTTTTAATACAGAAAAACAAAGCATGGCTAAAAATCTGCCAAATGTTAATATGTTGATGTTATTACAATTTAAGAACAACATTTTATAATAAAGTGGTATCCACAAGCTAATATATGTTTACAAGGAGTGTGCCTTTTTTCTCAGCTCTACTACTCAACTACTTTGAGGCAAATAGAAAGCAACATTTTCAGAGGAGTGAGTGTCTGCCAAGGAATGATTTGAGGAAAATATAATTTTGTGATTTTTCTGACCCATATTGTGATTGCAATTTAAATGCAGTTATTTTCAATAAAATTAATTTCCAGGCCTGTTTTTTTGGCCAAGAATGACCAGAATATCCACTTTTCCTAGCTTGAGGCTTGAATGCTGGCCTGACTATTCTTTAGTTGTGGTTGTGATAACATATATATATATATATATATATATATGTATATATATATATGTGTGTGTGTGTGTGTGTGTGTGTGTATATATATATATATATATATACACACACACACATATATATATATATATATATATATATATATATACATAAATACACATATCCATATGTATATATACACACATATGTGGATATTAAATCGAGAGGCTTATATTGCACAACAGCATCACACTCACATTCCAGCAGGCTACAATTTTCTTTTCTACTTCATACTGTAAAAGTACTATATATATATATATATATATATATATATATATATATAGTATACAGTATAGTGTTTTTGAGTGGCATGACTGAATTAGCAAAGAAAAGCTATACAGACTCTAGCTGTAAGCTATAATAGTAACTATAGTAAGCTATAAACTTACTGAATAACTTTGGTGAGTAGACCTCAGAAATCAAGTAAAAACATTTACTTTGTCTTTCACTGGTTATTCAGTGCTGAACACACACAGCCCATTTATTTATGTATCATCCTTTGGAAGTTTGGTAGATCTGGCTGTTACGTTTGGAAAATACGGCTTTATCCGAAGATACATTTTAAATATACTATACTTTCGGTAAAAGTAATATTAAATGATTTGCTGCTAATATCACACACAAACACGCCTGCCACTAGCGATGATCTCAGGTTAATCAGCTATGATATCTTCCCATCAGGACACTACAGCATGTCCTCAGATGAAACAGCTCTAGTTACAATGTTAATGAGCATGCTAATATAGATATTAGAGTTTGAAGCAATCATAGATTAATTATTGCAGATAAGAGTTCATTAACTTCTCACTCAAAAGTAATTTGATACCTTATTGAAATCAGGTCATTGGCCTACATATGTAGCCAAATAAGGACAGATTCATTAGAATTTGACACGCTGAAGAAAATCGTTACCTCCTCACTGCTTGAGCCAATGATTATCAGTTATATAATAAACATGACATTACGCCCTTACATAGGCTGCTAGCGGTTAAATAAGTCATAAAACGCAGACTAAAGTCAGTGGTGCTTTCGTGTGTTCATGTGGCTAATTCACAGTCCCGAATGTGGACAGAAAGCAGACAGAAGCAGATGTTGGAAACGTGCGGGGAAAACACACAGGGCGGACTAAAGTTGGACGTTTTTAAAAGAGAAAAATCGGATCTCTTGTCGACGTAGCTTCATGCTAATCCACCACCCAGCCTGAGGCGGCAATCTATTCCAAAAGCTTTAACGGATGTGGCACCAACTATCCAGCCTGAGTGGCGAACTAAACTATTTCGCTGTGTGATTGTGCAGAAAAAATATTCCCAACAAAAATAATAATAAGACTCCTAACAGACATTTTGGGGAGAAAGAAAGGGAAAATTACCTGCGCTGCTCAAACAGGCTAACAATGCACATTTTAGCCTGATGGAATCTTCTTGAAAGAAATCACGCGCGAACACGTCACGTGCTCATTATTTTGAGGTTAGAAAACGGTGAATTCTGGGTATGCTCCGATTTTCGTAGTGGCGTCCTAATTAAAGTTGCTAGTCAGGTTCTAGAATTGTTTCGATGTGCTTCAATAGACGTGTTCTAGAACTCTTATAGCCATTGTTTTGTAACTAGGGCGCTTAGCCAGTTCAGACGGCAAGAATTCTAAGCGTTAAGAGCGCGTATTGGAACGCAGCCTTTCTTGATCAGTGAACCTGTAATCCACTGCACTGACTCTGAAATACTTCACTCTGTGGACAATGCAAAAACTGGCGAACTATAATCCTGTATGTCGTCCCATATTCAAATATCCTTTAAAAATAGAAAATACTTAGAAATACTTAGAAATTTGAAATTTGTAGGACTGCAGGGAAAGGCAGATTTTTTAAAAAAAAACGTCAACGTTACAAATTAAAAAAAAAAAAAATTGTCCCTTGAATTAGCCTGAGATTAATTCTAGATCTTTTGACCATCTAAAAAAGGAGTCTGACCCACTTAAAGTCATCCATGCCAAAGGCAGGTCGCCTGCTTCTAGTGTTTTTTGAGAACAAGGCTAGATTTAGTGGAAAAGGCTGCTTCTCTCTCACTCTCCTCTTATAATTGAATATCTTGTAAGTGAAAATAAATCGACTGAGTGGTTTCCAATTTTCAGAGAACACGCCGATCTAATCATGTGAGACAGACGCAGCGAACTTATTCCGACATCAGCTTACGACCACTGCACTGTAAACGCCATTCCACCTTCACTTTATACAATCAGATTTTTCAAAATCAGATAACAGAGGATAACTGAACGAAAGACAAACTGTTTTGCCCAACTCGTGCTGTACCCTAATTGTGTTGTGCGTTGTGTTTATATTAATGACATGAACTGATTAAATCCCAAAGAGATCCTGCGATAGGACTGTGTGAGATTTTGAAACTCAACCCACTCTCACGTTATTATTATTATTATTATTATTATTATTATTATTATTATTGTTGTTGTTGTTGTCACAATGGCTGACACAACAACCATGTATATATATGTATATATAAATTTGCTAATAGTGTTTTGGGAGTTTCTTTTGTTTTTCTTTTCCTTTCCTTTTTTTCATGAATCTCTACAACAATAACAACAATAAATAATAATAATAATAATAATAATAATAATAACAATAATAAATATTATTATTATTATTATAACGAAAAGTAACAACTGTCAAAAAAAAGAAGGTTCATAATAATATTCATTTTTTATTAAATAAAAGTGCAATACACACGAATATGCAAAGCGCATTTTCCGGATTCAAACACTGTTACAAACTGAAAAATTTCATAAATTAAGTGTGAAAAGTAAAGGGAACATCATTCTATCATTATGAGACGAACACTATTCCTTATATTACAAATATAGTTTCATTGCTAAATGGCGTTTATTCTTTACACTTCAAACTTTCAGGCCACAGCAGTGGATGAATTCAGTTTTGGATAACTGGACCGTCAAAATGTAGCAAAACAAAAATAAAGGGAAATCATACATTAGCCCATGTTCTCAATGAGCTGCTCTTTTCTCCTTAAAGGGCTGAAGCTGTAGTCTGGAATTAAAGCTGAGCTGCTTATTGAAACAGACTCTCACTGAAACAGCCCGCAGAGGAATACCAGAATGAACCGGGAACACAAACAGAAAGAGTTTATGTTGTTTACTTTACAAAAAGGAGATATTTTTACACATAAATATTCACAGTAATATAATTTCTGTTGGACACCACTCACGCTGTTATTGTACACGTCCAATTTGCGTGAAACGTCTCTATTGCTGAGCTCCTCCAGAAGAGCGCGCGAGGCTTCAGTTTTGCGTCCTTTCTCACAAAACACACATTTTCAGAGCTGATCAAGATTGTGTGTGAATGATAGTTCAGTAACTGTGTATGAGAGGCAGTGTCCTCCTCTACGAGCCCTCGCTGTCCACCGTGTGCACGAGCAGAGCCGGGTTCGCTTTGTGCTTCTTCAGCAGCTGTGTGATCTTCTCGTCGTCTGAGTTCGGATCTAACGGTTTGTTGTAATCGTCATCATCCTCCTCGTTCTCCGAGGCTCCTTTCAGCCTCTCTGTCTCGGAGTCCTGCTTCTTCTTAGCTGAAGCCATTTCTGCCGCGTGCCGCTTCCTCCACTTAGTCCTGCGGTTCTGGAACCAGACCTGCTCAGACCAGAACACAAACTATCATTAATAAACCAGACCTGCTCAAATCAGTGCATAAACAATCATTAATAAATCAGATCTGCTCAAATCATAGCAAAAAAATAATAATTAATGAATCAGATCTGCTCAAACCATAGCAAAAAATAATAATTAATGAAGCAGATCTGCTCGAGTCAGAGCATACACAATAAATAATAAACTAGATTGGCCAGATCTGGTTTATTAATTATTATATGTGCTCTGATTTGAGCAGATTTGCTTCATTAATTATTATTTTTGCTCTGCTGATTATAATTAATAAACCAGATCTGCTCACATCAGAGCATACATAATAAATAATAAACTAGATTAGCTAAAATCAGAGCACAAATAATCATTAATAATCCAGAAAACAAAAATAATCATTAATAAACCACAACTGCTTAAATAAGCAAAAATAACTATTAATAAACTAAAAAAACAGATATTCTCAAATCCTAACTTAATTTAGAATTATTAATAATCCATCTCTGCTGAAATAAGATCAAAAATAATTAATCATCCAATCATTAGCAAACCAGAAACCTGAAATAATCATAATAAATACGATCAATATCACATATTATATGATCAAGATCATATAATAATAATAATAATAATAATAATAATAATAATAATAGGTATGTGTGGGCTTTATTATTATTATTATTATTATTATTATTATTTCATTAGTCTAATGCACTTAAAATATTTTTGTTTTTATGTTTTGTTTATGATAATTCAGTAATCTATATAATCTATATGTGCAGCTTAATTTACTGGGCAGCGCGTTATAATCAAACTGTTTTAGTTTCACTGTTTAACTGGACTTTTCGTTTAGTTTATGCGGGTAAAGAAAATAAACAATAAAATTAAAGCTGTTATTCTACTCAATGTTTCACTTACAAACTGAAAATATTTCGACATTGATTCCAGCCGTATTTTGTGTTGAGGTAATACAGTCCATTTATTCCTACTCTGCTGTGTTTAATGGAGATTACGTCACTGAGCACATACAGCGGTTTTGTTTTTGTGCACAGATATGATAATCTAACCTGCTGGTGTTACTGATCTCTTTCTCCTGTAATATGTTCACTCAGAGTGGTGCTCAGGTGCTGCTCTCTCACCTTCACTTGGCTCTCGGTCATCCCTAAAGAGTAGGCCAGGCGCGCGCGCTCCGGTCCCGCTAAATACTTGGTCTGTTCAAAAGTCTTTTCCAGAGCGAAAATCTGCTGTCCTGAAAACGTGGGCCGGGTGTGTTTCCTCTTCCCGTCTTTATCCAGCAGCACTGAGTTCTGATCTGAACAGACAGAAAGGAAAAACAACATGAGTGTCACACTAACAGCAGCTTCATTCTCCACATTCAATTAATAATTATTAATAATTAATAACTACTAATAATGAAAACAATTAATAATTAGAAAAAAATCCAAATGAAGCACAAAAGCAGGTTTTTACAAACAGAAGAACAGGATGGCGAGATGGACAGAAGATGTGACTGATGCTGTAATCTGTGACCTTCATTTATCACATACAGTAAATTTATCTTATACTGAATCACACTTACTTCATTAAGCGCAGCTGAATAAAATGGACTAAAATGTGCCCTCCTAAACAGGGAGGATTCAGGCGTTATGAGTCATCAGGCTGGAGGTGTAATATGGGACAGGCCCTTAATGACGAATAATGATTTAATCTTTAAACAAGAGCTTCCCCTTTTATCTGATGGCCCAGAATACCTGAATACACCTGAGGGGCTTCTCATACCATTTATTGAATTATTTTTGCATCTTACAAAATTGCACTTTTATTTACTTTAATACACTGAATGAAGGTAATAACAGATACAGCCTACAGCACTTAGCACCTCTGACAAACACATCAGCCAATAGCGTGAGAAAGTTGGATAAAAGCATGACAAGTGGACAGGCTTCCTAAATAATGGCTGGACCACCCTTTATTAGAGGTGGTATGTTACTTTCATAGACTGTCAATTTATTTACTTACTATATTTTTATTGTATTAAACTGTATGTACTTATCATATGAATTTTCCATGTTACTTTTTATAATGAACCCAAAGCAAAGACAGCTGTCCCGGTGTCAGTACTGTGGAGGATAACTGTTATTGCTTTATTTCTGTATTATATGTATCAAAGCCTGCCTGCTCATTTATTATAAGAGCTTTACAATAAATCGTCACTAGAAGTGAAGTAAATCAACTCTGAACACTTACGGGGTGAGCACGTGAACCTGGCGTCCCTCCAGTGGGGGCTCTGGACCACCCCGGGCCAGAAGATGGGGGTCCTTGGGGGCAGCTCGGTCAGGGGTTTGGGGTAGCGGCCCACGGCCACTGCTGCTGCTGCCGCTGCCGCTCCGGGACTGAAATAGAGGCCGGGAGGCGGAGGGGGACTCAGGCTGCTGAAGCGCGGCAGTCCGGTGAGCAGGCCGGCCGGAGAGGAGGCTGCAGGCCCGGAGGAGGAGGAGGATGGGGAAGAGGAAACCACACAGGGCCGGCTAAGGATGTCGTTTATCCCGTGCGGGGTGCCGGCTCCGCACTGAGGGGCTGACTGGGGTCCTGTGGGGGTCTTAGAGCCCGGAGAGGAGGCAGGAAGACCGCCCGGGTTTGGGGAGGCCGAAGTGGGGGAGGCTGAGGAGGATGAGGAGGAGGAGGGCAGAGGGTACGAGGGGTACAGCGGCGCCTTCAGCTCGGTCATGGTGTGCAGAGCGGCCAGAGGAGGAGGGCCGAGGAGGAAGGAGCTCTGACGGGACCCGTCCATCTGACCCACGGCGAGCATAACCACTAAACTCGGTGACAAATGATTAAATAAAAATAGGGGAAAATTAAGAAAAAATAAAAGGAATACGCAGCGCGCGGTGGGAGGTTTGGTGGAAAACGTGGCGATTTTTAAAAAGATTTTCTTCTGCTTTTTGCTCGTAAGAACGCAGGAGAGCGGAGGAGCGACGGCAGGTTATTCTGCATCAGAGCAGAGCAGAGAGAAGAGCGGACTTAAAAAGCATCGTGCCGACCAAGATTAATAAAAAAAAATAATAAAATAAATAAATAATATTTTTGGGAAAACAAAGAAAAAAACAAAAGCAGGCTCGCTTAATATTAAAATTAATATTTTGTTGTTGTTGTTGTTGTTGTTGTTTAAAATTCCCAGTCAGTCAGAGCGGCGCGGTGTAATCATCCTCACAGGCAAAATCCAGTCAGTTCGTTAAAACACTGCAAATCTTGAAGGTGAGGCATTCTTCTTTTACTTGCAAGTCAGATGGAGAGAGAGAGAGAGGGAGAGAGAGAGAGAAGGCTGCCTGAATGCAAACGCTGCCATTCAGCGCTGTGAATCTATAAATAAAGGTGCAGTCTGTCTCGGCGGTTCACACGGAGACCCGCGAGATAATAAACCATTTTCATCAACCCGCCGTCTTTTTGCTGCGAAACTCCAAAGTTTGGCGGATGTGGCTGAGAAAGTGGAGGCGCTCAGAGGGGCGCGATTGGGCAAAAGAGAGCCGTGACGTGTACCGGGGCAGAACTGAAGTACACCCACCACGACCCCCACTCCACCACTGCCTTCATTGGTTCTCTATATTCACCGCGTTCATTTGCACATTAAACCGGGCTGGCCGCCCACTGTTAAATATAAAAAAGAAACACAATCGAGCGAGTCTATCGGAGAGCTGGGTTAAAAAGGACCGACCTGCTTCTGCGCATCTACAGGACTGATGTGTTCAGGTGGGGAGACTCACCGCAGATCTCAGACACTTGACGAAACCCAAACTGAGCACAGAGCTATTAGCCTATCCGCGCTCTGTCTCTTTTTTTTTATAATAGTCTATTATTAGAGTAACACACAAGTTTTATTTCTTCATTATAGAATAATATCTAACGGTCGTCTTCGTTACTGTCACTGTTTTGTTATTTGGCCGAGTTGCTGTCTAAGCACTGTGCACGAGCCACGGATGAGACTCAGTGTTTCAGGATTTGCAGCTACAGCCCAGTGTATTGTACTTTATTCATTGTTAACGTCTCTGCTTTCTGTGGTCTCTAATAGTAACCATTAAGCCAATCCCCATTAGAAAGCAAAACCACCAGGTTTTACTCCTAATGGTTGCAATGGTCTCATTTTTTAGCAGGGCACATTCAACAGTAGCCTAACTGTTAAAAACAAATGCACACCTGAGGGGGGAAAAATGTTTCCTTAAGTGCCATCAAACGTACATTCCGTACACAGCATCGACTAATGATGAAAGTTTTTATAATGTTTTTATTATTATTTGTTATTTCTTAAATAATGCTGCTTTTTTTAATTTATAACGTGCAGTTCGTGCTTTGTAAACGAAAGTACAAATGTCCTTAAAATTGGACTTGGAAAGTTGTCACGAAAGAGCCTACACGAAATAAAATCTCTAAACTACTTTATTATATTTATTAGGCCTTAATTCTTCTTTAATAAAAGTATTTTAGGCTTTTACTAAAGTTATTAAACCACAAAGTATCAGTTTACTGCTTTTCAGACAGCTGTTACTGAGAGTTTGCAATTAATGTATTTGTGTGAAAACATCTAGTTTGTGGAACGTTTTTCGTCAGGTAAAATAATATTCCACTCATCCAAACACTTTAAAGTATCCATATTTTAGTCAGAGTATTATACACAAATATATATGCAGTTCAAACTGCGCCCCACTGAAAGCCTCCCTCACCGCCAGCCCCATTTTCAGCAGCACTTTGGCGCCCTCTGGAGGAGGCTGAACAAGATTCTTTCACTAGGCCAATATGCACTTGCCAGTTTATTAGAAACACCTACTTTGTACCTACACTCATTGGCCCTTTTGTCTGGTTGACCTACCATATAGGTGCACGCTAGCTATAGGATAACTTGCGGGAAGAAACAGTGACCCCCCCCTCCCCCTTTCATGGCTCATACCATTAGTAACATGGAAAAACACACACCTAAAAAGTGATTAGTAAGCATACTTGGTGTTCAAAATCCCATTATCTCTGCTGTTTCCCATACATTTGTACCAGAACAACACATTTAATTAAGTATTTAATTCTAATAGTATCCCCCTAACTTGTACTAAATACAGATAATTAATTTCTGTATATGTATTCAAATACTTCAATCCCACCGCATAGTACTTCCTGCACGTTTAAGCCTGTAGCAGGTTTTTCACTGTTGTCTTTGTACACTATACTAATACAAACCATCCTTAAGACCAAACCTTTACTTCATTCCACACCACAGACATGGTGTTGACAGTAGTGGCATTTCCAGCTTTGGTTACTATCAACTGACCTGCTCCAAACAGTTCCTAATTGGAGTTAATACTGAATAATATAGAAGAAAAAGTAAAAGGTGAAGACCCTCCATGGTATACACTGAATCCTTATTTATGTTTTATGACAAATTTATCATTAAAGTACATTTCAAAAGACTATTTAGGCACAATCAGATTAACAACACACAGCTGACAAATGCTAGTAACATTTAAACATATCAATGGACTTTAAGGATCTTTTTCTTTAAAAGAAAAATAATTAACAATACTAATAATACACAGACCTTATGGGAGGGCTCCTACAGCTGCATGGAAAAATACAGAACAGCACACTGGCAGCCAGTAACTGGCCTACAAAAACTCTTTTTTTTTTATTTCATCCTTCCTCAACGTATAAAAGCAATAAATTGTTGCGAAGTGCCTGTTCTGTCCACATCTAAAGTCTCAGAAACTAACTATATTTACATGCATGTAGTAACCCAAACTAAGTTCTAGTGTTCTAGACTGAGAACAATACACGTTAACAAGAGCTCTAAGAGATTAGCCTGTTTATGTAACTGTTTACGTGTCCACTTCCGCATAATCTGATTTATGATAACCAACACGAACACTTTGAAAAGACTTTTAAAAGACTGAAGTCTGACACCTTCTCACATCTAAAGACAACAGGCCTTCTTCACTAATAACTTCCTGTTTCTTTTTAAATGTGTTCTTCAGAAAGGTCCTAAGAAAAAGTCTACGTCAGATTCATGATATCCTTAAACTGCAGAATTGTTCCGATATCGTGTTGCACTTTGTTTTCTGTTCTTACCCAAGAACAAATCCCAAATAAGAAAACACTGCTGAAATGTCAGCATCTTTGTGAACACTAAGTGGACTTAGAACAGTTATTGAATGAGGCCCAATGTCAGAGTTTTCAGACTACACTTTTTCATGGTCACTATTTGCAAGATTATTAGATTTGAGATCTCATAATGCACCTGGTGGAAAACAACAGAACACCTTTTCCTTCTCCACTCTGTAGCAGTACAAATAGGAAGATACATTGGCTGAACATGTACTGAGACTCAGCCCAATCCACGGTAGAACTGTATATTCTGGCATTGTATATTCTTTAATATACCTGTTAAACATGCAGTTACTTTAACATAAAAATTCACACATCACCAAAACACGCAGCGATTCAGCTTTGCTGAATTGCTGAAAAAAAAATCAAAATAAGAAACCACTACCACAAGGCAAATTATTCTTCAATAATGGCGTTCTTCTGCAGTCTTCTTCACTTTCCTTACACTACTGTTACATGCTCAGCGAATTTGAAATATCAAGTTTCCATTTTTAGATGAACGTTTTTTGTTTTTTTTTTAATAAGAGATTTCAGGCACTCCCGCTTGCTTTTTCTCCCTTGCACTCTCATGTGTGCATGCACCTTAAGTTTCTCCACATTTGTCCCACACTACATTTAAAAATGTGTTTCTTAAATAGCTAAATGTCTATTTCCAACAAAATGCAATAAGAGGGACATCTTTCCACAGAAGCATGAGCCTTGTTGCTCTTTGTCACACATTTGTTTTACTGTCAAAAGATACTGTCTCCATGTGTAGTACCAAATAAACCACAGAATATTGCAAAAGCTCCGCGCAAGTCAGTGGAGCAATCTATGTCAATCTATTTCCAACAGTCCACCAAGTACTGGCCCCCAAAGGACACAAATTAATTACAATAAAGCTTACCTCAACTATAACCTTAGTTGAACCATGACAACTGTACAGCATTGTGTCCATAACAGTTAGCATAGTAGTGTTAAACTAATATTAAACTACTGATATGCATGTAATAGTGGTTAATGAAGGGTTGAGTCCATGATCTGTACCCATGGGTGAAAATCTAGAAAAATCTATTCTGAAGTTAGTGTACTGTTCAAAGTTTAGGGGGAAAAAAAAAGCCAGTGATCAGAGAAATAAAACAATTCAGACCACAATTGGGTACGAATGTTGGTATTTATTTACATTTACTCCCGGGCCATAAGTTTCTGCTTTTTCAGCTTCTTCTGAGAAACCTACAGGAAAAAAGGAAAACTGCAAGTAAATTGAAAGGCAAATGAAACCAGTCACCAATCCTTCTCTTAGAGATATACAAACAAGCTGAACCCAGTTCTAACTCAAATCTAATACACCTGATCCAGTTCGTCAAGGTCATCTGGAGATACCGGAGAGAGTTGGATCAGGTGTAAAAGATAAGGTTAAAAACAAAACCCTGCAGGAACGCAGATCTACAAAACCAGCCCAAGACAGGTTGACTGTTTTCAGGGTGTTGCTATTCCTCACATCTACCCTGACAGGTATTACTGGGCTGACATATCAAATAAGTGGTTGTTCAGAAAAAAAACAAGTTATTTTCATCATTAATCCAAAGGTGTCCTAAGAAGTCATCATTACAACCACAACTAAAGGTTTGTGCAGAGAGACAGTAGAATACGACAAGGCAAAAAGTTACCTTTTTCTTCTGAGCAACCTCCTCTTCTGGTTTGGGAACGATCTGTTCCTTCTCAGTGAGGATCATCTCAATGTGACATGGGGAGCTCATGTAAGGGTTGATACGCCCATGAGCGCGATAAGTACGCCTGCGCATCTTGGGGGCCTTGTTCACCTGGATGTGCTCAATCACCAGAGAGTCCACATCCAAACCCTTAAAATGCAAAACAGTCAGAGAAAAAAACAAAAAAAAACAAAAAAGAATTGGGTATTCATTACCTATGTGAACCCACACTAAAACAATAGTGCACCATTTCACAACTCAGAGCACTGCATTTCTCCTTAGAAAGTCTTGGAGACATGACTTCAGTTTATGAGAACTGATAAGCAAACGTACAAACGGGTTACTCATTTTATTCCGATTAGCTCATTGATATTTAGTGTTGGTGACTTATCCACTAAATTCCATGTGGTTGTCACCTGAATGACAAAGTTTAAACAGTTAAGCTGAAATTCAGGTATACGAAATATTCTGAAACTAGCCGAAACTTTTGATCATAGTACATCAGAATCAACCAGACAAGGAAGGTGGAGACCCTGATTTTCCAAAGTCCTCATAAATCACAGCAGTGAAATACTGACTAGCTGCTTGCAGTACAGAAAAGTAACAGAATTATGGTGCAATGTAGTTGTATTTTAAGAACGTACAACCAAGACATGCAAACCAACTAAAAGGACTGTACAAGGTGGCCTAAACAGCTGGATGAAAATGCCAGTTACATTTAAAGCACAATATTTAACTTCAATCTTGCATGAGTTCAAATACCTTAAGTTCAGCATTACTCTCTGCGTTCTTCAGCATGTGGAGGAGAAACTCTGCGCTTTTCTTGGGCCAACGTCCCTGGGTCCAATCATGCTGCTTGGCCTACGAGAAGCAACACACTACATTGAAAGCTAAGAACAAAACACCTGTTCACAAAGAAATATGAGGTTACTCATTATCAAGCTTTCTTCGTTAAATTCCAAGGGGGTCTCTTACTGTCATCACCACAACTTGAACTCATTCATCAGAAGAACCAACTATAAAACTCACTTACCTGGGCACAACGGCCAACACCACCATTGTAACGACGGAAGGGAACACACTGGCGCTTGACCACAACATCCTTCAGGTACTTGGTAGCCTTGCGAATGTGCATGCCTTTGATGGCCTGGGCAGTCTCACGTGTGTTCTAAAGACAGAACAGAACCCAGTTAGACAGTATCTTAAAACAGGGATCCCATAAGACAATTTAGTTTGTATAAAAACTGCATTCCACAATGAGAAAGCTGCTCAGAAATTACACAGTTATTTTCATTATTCATCCAAAGGTGTCCTAACTGATCATCATCGCAGCTGCTGTGTGGATATGCAACACTGTTGGATTCTTGAGCCGGGGCAACGAAGTAACCACAATTATCAAGTAACTCCATCAGTTGGTGTTAATATTTAGTTCGCCAAGATGTTTAACATGCAAAGCAAAACAATCTACAGAAAAATCCAATACTGGCATTTAAGTACAGTACCAATAACACCTGCAAATATTACTTTTCCCGCAGTAATGAGCGACTTTAGGCAATTTAACTGTACAGCAATGGAAAAGCACAAAGTGAGTTGTTCAGGACTTGTACACACATTCAATGACAAGCATCCACAGATATCCAAGACACAATAACTGAAATCACCTAAAGTTTGGGACCTTTCAAACAAAAACTAAGATTACAAAGAGTTAAACTGTACCTTGAAGTGAACACGGAGGTTGGAGCCCCGTGACTTGCATGCTGTTGGAGAAACACATGGCCAACTTGTAAGTACACAGTTAAGACCTTGATGCACATTAACCTTCACCCATTATTTCCTTTCATACAGACAGATCAAAAAGTGACCCACAAATGGTAGAAGTGATAATCAGGCACCTCATTTAAATAACAGGAACAATTCCTACATCAGCATTTGAAGAATCTTTATCGATGCCAGTTAAGGTACGTTTTTTAAAGCACCTAGATATATTAGGGCCTGGAGTGGAAGCAAATACTCCAGGGATGTAGACATCCAAGGACAGAGATGAGCACACCTGCTTTACACATTTAGATTTCATTCATAGCGAAGATGCTGCTTCAGCTTTATTTCCCCTGATAACTCATCTTAAAGATACTCACACTTAGTCGGGTTCTCGGGGTCGAGCGAGTAGCGGACCATTTCTGCAGGTCTGGAAACAGAACAAAAAGAGTCAATGAGTAAATACTACAAGGGTAAGCGGCCACACACGGCAACTCAAAACAGGTTGCTCAGATTTCAACAAAGTTGTTTTCATTATTAATTCCAAAGGTGTCCTAAGATCGTCATCATTGCAACCCACCGCACTGACAACCCACTTCACTGAAAAGCTCCAGCAGACACGCAGCCGGTCAGCCGAACGCTGCTAACAAGCTAACCTAGCTTTAACACAGCCAAACAACATTCAGCAGCTCAGACCGTCAGCGATCGGCTAAACACACATTATGTCATATAATCAGTGTTGAACCGACTCTGTGTTGTTAACTCAGCCAGTTAAAGCGTTTATATGTACTAGAAAATCCACCAAGAACAACTGTGGCTACAAATGGCAGACCGGAGAGAAAACTGCCAGTATTTCTTTAAAAATCCTCCTCTATACGTCACCATAATCACACATACTGCCGAATATGAGTTAAATAAGCGTATAGATGTAACATCTGAGTATAAAAATTGAGGATTACAGTGATATTGAGCGGATTATCCAGCATTTTATTTTCGCAGCTCTACATCAGACACTTACGAGCTCAGGCCGCAGAAGGGAAGAGGAAGCGCTAAGCATGCTGGGAGAACAAATCGAGTCTGGCTTCTTCGGCGATAAGAAAAATCTGTGAAAACAGACAGCGCCGCTCAGTGGCAGCGTTCAGTAAAATATTTATTTATCTATCTATCTATCTATCTATCTATCTATCTATCTATCTATCTGTACATACGTACATACATACATATATAATTTATTTACTTAAATAGTTTTGTATTTATAATACACATTAATGCATTTTAATCAATACATTACTTAACTTGCATATACATTTTATTTATTCATATATATATATATATATATATATAGTATTCATTACTGATTTCTAGTCATTATATTATTTTGTGTAACGTATATAATTGCATGAAATATTGTCATTTATTTTAAATTTATAGACAGTGCCTCGTATGTAGATACAGTCCAGAGCAAAAGTCTTAGGCATCCATGAAAACTGTTTACAGCTATTTATCTTGTCAATAAGTGTTTTTGCCAGTGAAAACACTATACGGCACTAGAATAAATAGAAATCAACACAAATACACTATAATGTGTGTTTTTACTAAAGCTAACAATATATTGATTGGAAAATACAGTTAAAAGACACAGATTTTGTTCTTGACTTCTTTCTGTGTACTTTAGCTTTCACACAGATTTGTTAAATTCCATCAGCAGCAAGTATATGGATTAAAGTAAGTAATGTTTTTTGTAATGCCTGAAAGTGAAACATGGCTTCATCATAACACTATACACTTTATCTGGTTGTCCTGGATACTCTATCAACATTTATTCTATAATCTGAATAATTTCATTCCAGCAATCAACCCTTTTATAGACAGGAAGATGTATAAGCATTATAAATATTCCACTGTTCAAGTGATTAGACTACTTTTTATACGACTTTTCTACTGAGAATCTCCACTCATCGCTCCGTTTAATTTGTTCGAACTAATCAGCAAAATAAAAGTCCTCTTTGTCTCTGTCTCAGAGGGCTGCCTATTTCCTATGTAGAGTCCTATGTATGCTATGAAATGAAGGTCTCTATGCTGCATTATGTGTCTAATTTAAAGCCATTTATGTTCAGCCATAAGCTGCCCGACTCCCTGTTTAACACTTAGGGCACTATTTGGGTAAAGAATAGTTTCCTATGACCGATGAAGTGCACTCTACAGGCAGTTTGAGCCATTTGAGATTTTTGGGTGCATTGGATAAAGAATAAAAATATACTTTCGTAAATGTAGGCTCAAAGAAGAGATTCCCTTGTACATCCACTAGATGGCAGCCATGTACAAACAAAAGAAAACAAAAAAAGACGCGAGCCCTAAATAGGCCTATTTATAAATGTTTCACACTTCCTGTCCTGTAGCCCACATGCACTACACAATGTTTTACTGAACCTGAATCACACCATTAGACAATTATAAAATCCTTTCTGAGCTCAGGCAGCTGTTTTAGAGGACAAATGAAACACTACAGGACTGGAGGTGAGAAACACTGCTAAACATCTGAACTGGGGTTTCATTTACAGGCCTAATATGAGGTCTTCATCAAAAGGCTTTCCGCTACGTTTTGACATTATCATTTGAATGGGTGACCACCTATTGCTCTTTCCTTTTACTTTTGCCACAATTTTACAGGGCCTCTATTTTAACCAAGGCATATTGCCATGAATAATGGCAGATAATGTATCTGGAATGTCAACAGTTCAGGGTATTTCTAACTTTAAACAGCCTTCATACTACAACCACACATAGTTTATTGCCGCTATTGTTAGTTTTACAACTGAGTTACATAAATGACAACGATTTATAGTAGTTCAAATAAAGATAAATAATTGATGTTGAAAGACTTGGGTCTTGATTTAATCTGATTGATGCTGGATTGTGGCATTGCCATTAGGGTTTTTGACCAGACAAGCAGAAGCCAGTCAATGCGTCAGCATATCAGAGTACCTGGGGGGGCAAAAGGCGTTTGGCATGAGCTCAAAAATTCTTTCAGAGTGATCCCACCGGAGCCAAGATCTCAATATCGCAGCTTTCTTTCCTGTCAAGAGAAAGAATAGTGCAAACTCTCGTTTTCTCTGCGCGAAATGCTGATTGGGGGAATACTGCTCAACGGCTTGCTGCATCAGTCACAGGCAGCACAGTCTACTGTTTCCTGCCCCTTCCTGCCTCCAGAATCCCCAGCCTGTCTCTAAAGCAGATCATTTAGGCCTGGGCTGAGGGATTCAGGCCAAAAGTAGGCCCTGCTCTGACAGGTAAGCATGGATACATGCTGTTCTATTTTGTTCTCTGAATGGTCCCCATGCCAGCCTTTACTTTACCATTCTTGTCTAACAAGAAGGTTTGTGCTGCTGCACTGAAACTGAAGCCGTATCGAACTGCTTTAGTGTCCTGCCCGGAAATTTGCTGAAGCTGGTGGGTTGAATTACGACGCCCCTTGAGAACAACCCCAGAGCACCTCAGGACAGCATAAGCGCCGCTCCTGATCAATGTGTGCGGGGCCCCTTTCTGACAAGCATTACATTACAGCAAATGCGTTTGCCTTGCAAAGACTTGTTTTATGTGAAGGCAGTATATTGATCCATAAAGGCAGCGCGAAACAAAGCATTTATTTCTCTTCAGCATTTTTATTTGCAGATATTAAGATCCATATAATAGAACAGCTTTTGTGTCTCCATCAGAATCCCTGCATTCGCCTTCTGAATGACATTGACAGGAGTGTAGTTTGGCTCTGTCAACTGTGGCTCTGTCCACTACTTTTTGCTTTTTGCTGACTCGTGGTCTTGCGCTGCCTTGCACTGTCCACCCCAGCACTGGCCAGGCATGTCATTTGTTAGATTTAGCACATCTTAATATGTTTTCAGTACGGCCCTCTCTGCAGAGCGCTAATGGATGAGTCCTTGGATGAGTTTCTGAAGAATTGAGTAATCCATTTTAATCATGTCTCCTGAAATACCTTCAGCATACATTTCCAATCCTGATAGCCCTAGCCTTGCTGCTAATGCAATTTGGGTCTTGTCCTTAGCCACACACACACAACTCAGGGACACTTTATGTGAGATCACTATTAAGCTGAGTGATGTGCAAGCTGAAGATGCTGAGAACGCAGTGAACTCATCACTCCGCTATCTTACTGTGTGGAGCTGCTGGTTTATAGAGGCACACTAACTGCTGAAGGTGGGTAGACAGCTGAAGAGCAGTGCCATTTGAGAGAGTGTGAGTAGAGTGAGTTCTGTTACATCACAACTGGCCGATGTGGTTGCTAGCTTTCATTCCAACAACACAGGAGCACACATGATCAGTTGTTTGAAGACTGAGAAGTCTATTCAGATGTGCTCCTGCTTGTTTAGAATGAAAACCTGTAGCCACACCAGCCCTTTGCAGATAAGATAAAAGAATGAAAACCTTTACTGAATCACTTCAAAAAACTTTACTGAATCACTTCCAAAAAGCTTTGCTGAATCACTCCTAAAGCATCTACTGAATCACTTTTAACAGCTTTACTGAAGAATTGCTAAAGCTTTACCAAATCACTTTTTAAA